CTGTCTGGAAGCTTGCATGCCGCTATGATGCTAAGCAGATTTTTCACTAGAGCTTACACATTAGACCTGGTAAGCCACTTGGGAAAATCAGCTAGTGAAAACCTTATAGATTCTAATGTCTGGCTGTGGGAGCAATGCAGAAGTGGGTAGAATTGTGTTCTGCTGTGCACAAGTCCACTGCAGTTAATAACATTTCATCCTCCAATTTCTCTCTAGAAGCATCCCACCAGGCTAGTAATGCTAGGAAAACACTGGGGAAAATGACCGAAAACAATGTGAAGGTAAGTGTGAAAAGAATGTGAAGGAAAGTCAGTGTGACCTGACCTGAGGACCTTCTCTTTTGTCTCCACACCAGGATCTTGGATTAGAGAAAGTGCTGTATCACCCTTGGGCTCTTATAGCCAGGTCACACAGAAGAACTCTACACACCTGAGCATATAACTTGGTCCCAGAGTCAAGTCTTGATGAGAAGGAATATGTATACTGGGATGGGAAGGGCACTTGAGGCAATGCCTCTCAAACTCTGCTTTATTGGGAGGCTTACACTGGTGGCCACTTAGAAGGGTAATAAGAGCTCCAGGGTTTTGTTTTGGGCTTTCATACACACTGGGGAATTAGTCATGAGGTCATTTCTGACATACGCAGGATATGTGTCATCTGAAGAGAAAGCATCTCTCCCCCCCGCCATCCCTGACCCCCCGGGCACTCACGTAGTCTCTCTTTGGCATGCTTTTGTTGCCAAACTCAAGCTCATGGTCACCATTTGAACCATCCTGGGAATTCTTTGATCTTACCACGGAGAGGTAATCTTAAATGGGTCACCAAGAATTGTGCAAAATGGTGGCCTTGGCCAAGCTCTTTGCCGCCTCGGAGCTTTGCACAAGTGCTTTCTCTGTTCAGGCTGGCATTGTCTGGTCTCTAGAATGCCTGGGTGGTGCAAATGGGTAGCATGCTTGGCTGCTAACCAAATGGTTTGAAGTTCTAGTCTTGGAGCTACCTTGGATGAAAGGCCTCAGGAATGAGGCACTGAAAACCCACTCAAGTGCACTTCTGCTCTGGCACACATGGGTCACTACTAGTTGGAATCTGTGCAACAACAACTGATTCGTTGAGTCTTAACATTCAGGTTAAATGGCACCTCTAATCCTGTTTGTAGTCTCATAGCATTTATCACCACATGGACCACTACATATTTTACTGCTTCAACAGGTATCCTTTTTTTCCCATGTAAAATAGAAATTCTAGAGAGGCAGAGACTTTTATTTTGATGACTATTGGGTCTCTAGTGCCTTGAACAGTGCCTGGCATGAAGTAGGCAGAGAAGATGTATAATTGTTGAATGAATAAATGAAGAACAACTTTGTAATCTTTTTCCTTGTTTGGATGATGACTGGTGGTTGGATGGTGGTAGGCAAGGCAGTTGACCAATGAGTGGACTAGGTAGTAATAAAAGGGGAAGTCTTCTAACTCCTTTATTGGCTATCTTCTTACCAACCTTTCATATTTAAAATAGTAAAAATTCTATTATTTTGCACATTAATGGTGTATGTAATGAATGCTGAAGTATGAGGTGAGAATAACACTGGCTATCATGATCAAGGGAATTCTGGGGGCCTAGTGACAAGAAGCTGTCCTACCATCCTGAAGGCACATGGTTTGAGGTCACCAGCTGCTCTATGGGAGAAGGATGGACAATCTCCTTTCATGTGATTAACTGCCTCTGAAAACCCACTGGAGGGTCAGCTATGGGTCAGTTTCGACTCTATGGTACACAGCAGCAACAACAACATCATGATCAAAGTTATGTGTCCACTTGGCTGGGAAATGGCTATCAGTGATTTGACAGTTATGTAATGATGTAATTTGGCAGTTGTGTAATGATTTAATCATCTTCCATATTTTACACCACAATCATTTTCATATAATGACCTGGTTTTTGAAACCTCACCATGTTAAGTGAGGAGTTGGTATGCTTGTGGAAGGTGTGCCTAGCCCCGCTGTGGGCCATGGGCACACAAGGCAGCACAGAAGTACAGAGAACGATAGAAATGAGTTTTTATTTGTAAAAAGTTACAAAATGATATTGTACAAAAATAAAGTCTGTAGAGAACTTTGGTTGTATAACATAAACGACCGAGACAGATCAGAGAAGTCAGAACTTCCAAAGAAGTGCACTCTTTACTATATCAGATGGTAATAACAATGAGAAAGAAAAATCACAAACTTTACCCTTTTGTGGATTTGGTGGAGCAATTTGCTTGTGTGAAGACCTGTTACGGTGTGTCAATGATACTGGGAACAACTTGGTAACACCCATTGGGGATCTAAAAGTCCTTGAGGGCCGGGACCCTCCTTGGGAAGGTAGGGGCTTAAACCTGGGAAACTTGGTCACCAAATCTGCTATGGTAATCTGAGACAGACCGGTGACTTACAGCTATGTCCAAACTGTGCCTCAAGAATGACCAGATGGCTTGGTTTGCTCCACAATGGCCCCAAGAGAGGGAGGAGGGGACCATTTTTTCTGTTTTGTGTAAAAGGAGCAGAAAGGACAGAGATGGTGAGAGGATGGAGGACTTGGGTCTTTTGGAGCATGGCTAGGGATGTCTCGTAACTGCTGCATTCTGACAACTTTGTCAAAATTACATGACTCTATGGGAAGCTGGGAGGTCACTGAATCCTTACATCTCTCATACTTTTGTAGTAAATAGCCACTAAGAGAGTGGTAGATTATCTCCTTGATAAATGCCTCTTATGACATTTGTAAAAAGCTCTACTCTAGGGCCCAGTGCGTGTTGCCTGTGTTGGCTGCCAGGCAAATCTACAATTTGGGAGCCTTGTAAGGGAGCTCTGGTGGAGTGGTCCTTAGGGCGTTCCACTGCTAATTCAAAGACTGTGTCGGTCTGGTAGTTCAAATCCACCAGCAGCTCCAACGGAGAAAGCTGGGCAACCTCCTCCCATGCAATTTACAGCCTCTGAAAATCTCTGAAAAAAACAGAGGGTCAGTTATGAGTCAATTCTGACTCGAGGGCAATACATGAGTGAGTGATGTAGTGTAGAATGTATCGAGTTGCTAAATGGAAGGGTGATGGTTCGAATCCACCAGTAACTTTGAGGGAGTAAACTGACCAGTCTCTACCTATCAAGATGTATTGTCTCAGAAACCCAAAGGAAACTTAAAGACAGTGCAAGGGTGTGAGAGGTTGCTCCGATCCTCTGCTTCCTCCTTCTAACAACTTTCCCCATTACCTTGTGTGACGGCTTTGCATGAGTGTACACCCGGGGCATGCCAGGTGCCTTCTTCAGACACCCTGCTCAACCACCTTCATCAAGGGACAGGGTGTGCAGGAGCAACAACTGCAAAGCCAGATGACACCTAAGTGGCCTCTACGGGAACCAGGCAGTCCTCACGTAGAGAAAGGCATCATGTGCTTCAGGGCCTGCCCTGGCCAACCAGCCTGCATCTCAGGAAGCTGGTGGTTAGATAGAGATTGAGGATGAGTTCTCATAAGTCACGCAAAACCATGGCCATCTGACAGAATGTTTGGGTCAACATTAAGTCCAGAAATACCTACTGAATGGAACTGGCCCTTTATATATATGGTTATGCATACTACAGATTGATATATGAGAGGAAAAGGGGACTAAAGGCTTAAATATGACATAAAGGGTGGTATAATTTGTTCAGTGATGGAACAATGAAGAAATTAAGCCAAGTGCCAACAGTGCCTGCACACCGTGCCCCCAAAAAGGTGGCTGGGCAGAGACATTTCTCTGATTTTTTTTTTTTTAATATGGAAAATGCAGAAGCCTGAGGAAATCCCAGGGCTTTTGTTCAAAAAAAAAAAAAAAAGGTAAAGTAAGTGATTTTTAGAGAGCAAACCCTTTTTTTAAAAAAAAATACTTTGAAAAGCATGGACCCTTGTTCCCAATTAAAATTTCTGGTGTCACCTCTCTTTGTGTTTTGTGAGCACATATACTTTGGCACCTTTGAAAAGAAACTTTAATAAATAAGGGGAGAGAAAAAAAGAGAGAAATTCATTAGTGAACAGTAATAAATAATAATAACTTAAATCTCAATAAATAGCTTCTCTATATTTCTGTATCTGAAACAGATGCATTGCATCGAGTAGCTTCTCTGGTCACTGGTGACCACGCATAAACGGAGCTGGGGTGTATGTAACATCTGTCTCTCTGTAAACCGACAGGCCACGTGGGTCTCCCCACTCGCTCTCCTACAAGAATGCTGCCGAAAGCCACAACTGGTTTCCTGTTGCCAAGGAGAGAAAGGAAATACCTTCAGGTTTGTCTCGTCGCGGGGACAGCCTCTCTGGTGCCGATCCCACTTCCTCCCACCCCCCACACACCGTATTCTGGATCAATTGCCAAATGCTGGATCACAAAACAAACGCTGGTTGGCGTGAGCCTCAGTCCTCAACTTCCAGATGCAAAGGTTATGCTCTCTCTGGGTCTTTGTTTTGGTGGCTGTTTTCTTTTCAGGGGTCCATCTCAACCGAGGGACTGAAAAGAGCGCATTCTGATTTTGAGCAGTCACAGGTCGTGCCAAGTGGGCTCCCCTGGGGGGTACTCCTGTTCCTCGGGTGTCTTTAAGTAGCTGAAAACAAACCACAGGAGACACGCTGGTTTGGTTCTTCGAGTGCACCCGCCAGAAACCCGATGGAGACGTGAAGGCAGTGGACTGTATCGGAGAACTGCTGGCGACATCCAAGCAGGGACAGCAGCCCTCAGCTCTGACGGCATCGGCTTCAGCCCTGGGGGAACCAGATGGCCGCTTCCTCTCTCACCCGTCCAGTTGTCTGCAGCTGGATCTCCTTCTACCAGGCTCCCATAACGGCTACCTGCCTCTTGCTTCTCCTCTGCTTCCGCTTCGGCCTCCTTGGTCCTCATTCTTTTCCATTCTGGGCAAACATTTCCTGGGAACCTTGGTCCCTTACTTTGTACTGTAGCAGGAATGCAATTTGCAGCAGTCTCTGGAGCCGGAGTCAGATACATCCACACTTCTTAGCGGAATGCTTTCTTAGGATATGGTAAACCAGGTTATCATCTAAAAATGATAGGTCGTCATCGAAGGCGATGGGTCTGCAGCACGCCTGCCCCACTTTGTCATTCACCAGCCTTCTGCTTTTGGATAAGTTTTTTAATATTTTGTCGTACATGTTCTCAGCAGCATCGCAGGAGCCACTGCAGTACTTAAAAATCAGTTCCTCCTTGGTTTCGTAGCCCAACCCCAAGTCGGTGACATTTAAGTGGATCGAAGTTAAGACACAGCCCCGGTTTCTGCCCCTTTGGCCTCTCCGGCCCTTCCCTCTGGAATTTTCTGGGTTAGCAGCTGCAGCTTGCCGATTCCGCTCTTTTCTAGCAAACGTAGCCGTTTGTTGTTTATCTGTTGACCTTTTCAGTCTTTTAATGGTGGCTTGAATAAAATCCATGACATCATCAAACTGGTCAGGATAATCCTCTGGCATATTTGCTGTTCAATAAGAAAAGAGAAAATGCCAAATGAGACCATTACGACTTTCACGCAGTTTTCTAGATCAGAATGCCCCAAAAGTCCACCAACATTGGGCTCCCAGCAAAACTATCAGCCAGTTAAGCTCGGTGCCACTGAAACACATGACCTCCCCCCACCCCCAAGAACCCACCCTTCAAAAAAGGATTGTCTCAAAGAAGCTACTAACACAGGTAAGTGATGTGTTTCCTAGTTAGAAATAGATCCTTAGGAGTATATTTTTTTCCTTTGGTAAAACATTTGCCACTTTTCCTTTTAAATGTTTTTTATTTTGTTGTTGGAAAAGTGCACAGAGAAAGACCAATTAACATGTGCCATTTTAAAACATGCCTGTATAAATGTGAAGGAACACTGGCGGTGTGGTGTGTTGATGTGTCTGGAGGTTTGAATTCACCGGAGACTCTGTGGGAGAAAGATGAGCAGTCTCCTCCTGTAAAGATGGACAGCCTCAGAAACAAAGTGGAAGGACACCAAGGGAGCTGACGTTATGGCTGAGAGTTACCCCAGGTGGTGTCAATGGTGAATATACTTGGCTGTTAAATGAAGTCGACTTGATGGCACCTAACAACAACAACAAGCGTACCTTGAAAGAAGGGCCTGGCGGTCTGCTTCCAAAAAAAATCAGTCATTGAAAACTTTCTGGGGTTCTGCTCTGACTCAAAATGGATTACATCTCAATGTCAGGGGGGAAAAAAACCCCTCATCACTGGGCCAATAGGCTCATGATAGATGGAGAAAGGACTGAATTTGACAATGATTTCATCTTACTTAAATCTACAATCAACACACTTGGTACCAGCAGTCAAATCAAAAGCTGTATCACAATGCGAAAATCAGCTGTCAAAGACTCCTCCAAAGTTCTAAGGAGCAACAATTCCAGTTTAAAGACTAAGGTGCACCTGAGCTAAACTATGGACTTCTCAATTATTTATTATCATGTAAAAGTTAGACAATGAATTAAGATAGTAGAAGAAGAATTGATGCCTTTGAGTTGTGATGTTGGAGAAGAGTACTAAATATCCTATGAACTGGCAAAAGAACAAACAAATATGTCTTGGAGAAAGTGCAACTAGGGTACTCCTTGGAGGCAAGGATGATGAAACTTAGTTTCACATACTTTGCGCATGTTGTTAGAAAGAACAGGTGCTGGGAAAAAGACATCACGCTTGATCAAGTGGAACGTCATTAAAAAAAGAGGAAGACCCTCAACAAAATGGATTGATGCAGTGTTACAGTGGGCTCCAATGTATTGGCGATAATGAGGATGACACAGGACAGGACAGGCTATAGATCTGCTGTTCATATTGTCACAACAGGTGGTGGTTGACTTGATGGCACCTAACAGCAACAAGCTCGGGTGACCTAGTGGTAACAAGCTGTGCTGTATGTAACACCGAAGGCACACAGTTTGAATCCACCAGCTGCTCGTCGGGAGAAGGATGGGCCAATCCTGACTCGATGGTACACAAAAACAGCACATCACCACTCTGATGCAAATGGTGTCATCACGACTTGAGGTTGACTGAAAATAGAAATCCCCTAAATCAGTTCTTGTTCAGTAGCATAACCTCAAACATGAACGGGCAGGAGAACGCTTTGGAACGCTCGCTGGAATGCAGATACCTGGCTCCCCTGGTCTGAGACTGGGATTAGGGGATTGGCATTTTTAACAAGCCCATGAGGAATTCTGATGTAGACGGTCCATGGAACAAACATTGACAACACTGACTTGAAAGGTCATAAAAGGAGTATCTTAGGCTGATGTGTGGTGGGTTTTTTTTTAATTGCTTATTAGCTCCCTACAATTTGATTTTTGTGTATGTGAACTGTCTATTAAAATTCTTTCTCTGTTTGATATTTATTTATTGGATATTTATTTATTTATCTCTGTTTGATATTTTATTTAGTTTCATTACAATTCATCCATGCCTCACCAATTTATTTTTCAAGTTTATATGCTCTCTTGCTTTCTGGGTTTTTTTGCAAGTAAGCCCATGTCTTTACCACATACTTTTCTGATCTTTTCCTTTCTAGTATTGTAAATCATAAGCTTCATTCATGACACTATAAAATATATTACCTTGGCAAACTTAAGAGACTACTTGAGTCTGAATACTAAAGCCTCTGCAGGGGGTGCTTTGCCATTTATCCCGGCTCAGCGCCTCTGCAGGACTGAGTCAAGAACCACTTTCAGAGATGAAATCAAAGCATTAAGGGATCCAAACAAAGCCTACTTTTTACTAATGAAGAGACTAATTCGCCACCCCCTCAGAATAGCGAGCTTGCAAAGACAGAGTCTGGTGATGCTGCATTATGATATTTAAATATGTTATGGTAATGTGTGGAAATGAGATGCAGTTGGTGGATACATTCTGCCCTGATCCCAGCCTCTCTTTAATTACCACTTGCCCTGTAGCAGGCAGCTCAGACTCAGGGCGACCCCACGCGTGGCTGGGTGGAACAGCGCTCCGTGGGGTCTTCAAAGGCTGACTTCAGAGGCAGATTGTGAATTTTCTCTGGAAGTGCCTCTGGGCACTTCGGAACCTCCATCCTGTTGGTAGTAGACAAGTGTAGAAAATAACTATTTGCACTATTTCTGGAGACTTGACACCATCAAGTTGTTGTGATGTTTCACTGAGTCAATTTCAACTTAGAGTCATTTGCACCACCGAGTTTTGTAAATGGTAATTTTGATGGGATCAGCTTTCTAGGTCTTCTGTTGAGCCACTGCTGGGTTTGAACTGCCGGCCTCTCGCTTTAGAGAGCTCTGGTGGCAAGAGTAGTAAGGAATTGTGCTTCCAACACAAAGGTTTGTCGGAGAAAGATGGGTAATCTTCTCCCCTGCTATTTACTGCTTCTAAAAACCCACTGGAGGGTTGGCTATGAGTCAGTTCTGACTTGGTGCCACAAAAGCAACAACAAACCTTTCAGTTAGCAGCCAAACACTTCACTACTGTCCCACCAGGGACTCCAGGTTGTCACTAGGATGGATGCTGTTTGTCCTGGTGGCAAAGAGTTTGGAATACAGACTTTAGTGTGATTACATCAGAGTGGGGAGATGATGAAATCTTTGGGTAAAAAGCGTCAATTAATAATTTCCTGGAAGCTTTAAAAGCATGCCAGTATTTATTTTGGTGTATTATGTAATAAGAAAAAAAGAATTATTTGAACATTTAAAAAACTCTAAGAATGAAAGCCATTTGATGTCCTTTTGGTTGTTGTGAAGTGCCCTCGAGTCTAGTACAACTTCTAGCTATTCTATGAACAATAGACCTGAATGCTGTCCTATCCTGTACCATCGTCCTCATCTCTGATACACTTAAGCCCATTGTTGCAGTCACTGTGTCATTTCATCTCATTGAAGGTCTGCCTTTTTATGCTGACCTTTCACCTTTCCAAGTATGATGCTTCTTTGCAAGGAATAACCCCTCCTAGCAACATGCCCAAAGTACGTGAAATGAAGCTTAGTCAATCTTGCCTCGAAGGCGCGCTCTGGCTACCCTTCCCTCAAGCTATATTTCTTTTGGCAGTCCATGGGGATATTCAATACTCTTCTCCAACACCACAGCTCAAAGCCATCAGTTCCTCTTCTATCATCCTTACTCACTGCTCAGCTTTCAGATGTATAGCAAGTGATTAAAAAGACCATGGCCTGTATCAGGAACACTTTGGTCTTTAAACTGACATCATTGCTCTTCAGTACCTTGGAGAAGTCCCTGACACAAGAGTTCCCCAGTCCTATGGGTAGTACTGTCATCTCTCAGAACCTTCACGCGTACTGGCTCCAGAATGACATCTCTATATCAAGATTCGTAGATTCAACCCCTTATATAAAATGATGTATATATATAACACACATATTCCATACTCTAGATTACCTATGATATCTAATGATGTAAGTAGTAGTTTTATGCCCCCCCCCCAGTCTTTCAGGTATGGCCCAGACCACTTAATTGCTTCCTTCCATTCCCACCCTCAAATATAGTTGATCAGCACTTGGGGACCATGGATACAGAGGATTGACTTGTCTAGAACTTTTTACATTCCCCATAAACCATTTTCCAGCTAATTTAGTCAATTTTGAGTTATATATGGCTTTGAAAAATACACCTCAATCATTTTTACTCAAAAGAGTTGTCAATAAGAATATTTTGTGCCAAGACTATGTTAAGGCACAAAAATGGATTAGACTGTGCCTAACCTATGTTGAGCGTATCAGAGACTGTGAGGATGGCAGAGGACAGGACAAGGTTCAGATACGTTACTCATAGGGTTGCTGTGAGTCATACTTGATGCAACAGTACCCAACAACAATAACCTATGTCAGTTGTTTTGTCATAAACCTAATCTACTGTTGAATGGATATCTGGTATCCTGTTGTGTAAAACTTTCACTTGTGAAGAATACTGACTATACCATGACTGCCAAAAGAACGAACCTGTTTTAGGAGAAGTACAGGCAGAGAGTTCCTTGGAAGCGAGGATGATAAGACTTCCTCTCACATCCTTCAGCCATGTTATCAAGAGGGACCAGTCCTTGGGAAAGACTTCATGCTGCACCAAGTCGAGGGACAGTGGAAAGAGGAAGACCCTCAGTGAGATGGATGGCACAGGGGCTGCAGCAATAGCCGTAGACACAGCAGAGATGATGAAGATGGTGCAGGATTGGGAAGGGTATTGTTCTGTCGTGCATGGGACTGCTCTGCCTAACAATAACTGTCTAGCTAAAATGACTTGACTTGTTCATGACGTATCATGATGAAAAGAGTGAGAACTGCACAGACTCCTTCAGACCTCACTGCTTGGCATCTGAGCTTTTGTATCGGTTGGTTCTGCTGCAGCAAAGACATGAAGCTGCTTCTGCGCTTTCCCCAGTCCTTATCACCCCTCCCTTGAGAACTGCCACAGGCCCTGTCCCCAAATGGCTGCTCTTCTGCCTGTGGCCCCTTTAATCTCCTTCCT